CCTGCCACGCCCCGAGCCCCTTCCCCAGCACGCCTGCCAGCCCTGCCCCCCATGCCCCAGCACCGTTGGTGTAGAGCGGCCGGCGAAAGGGAGCCCCCTTGGACATGGCGGCGGCCAGGATGAGGTACTGGAAGCTCGACAGGGAGAAGACCACCGTATTCTCATAGTTGGGCAAGTTGTCCGGGGCGGGCACAGTCCTGTTCAGAGGCACAAACCTGGGCACAGGGGGAGGGGGTGGAGCGTGAGTGCAGTTGGAGGGGTGAGGCAGGGGGGTCAGTGGGGATGTGGGGGCGGTGGGGGGAGGGTAGCTGAGCAGGGTCCTACTCACCAGGGCTGGGCCAAGATCAGGAAGTAGCCTCCCAACTGGACGCCAGCCACCAGGGCTACCTGCAGCAGCAGGCTGCTCAGCACGGGCACGCTGAGCAGGGCCCCCGGTGGCCGCGCCCGGCCCAGCACCAGCGCTGGCCCCGTGCGGCTCATGAGCACGGCCACAGTGGTGGTGATGCCCAGGTCGATGGCCAGGAACTGCATGTCGCTCAGGTTGGTGTTGACCTGCAGGCAGCGGGCTGAGGCTGTAACTCTCGGCCCTGGCCGCCCTCCCCTCCTGCATTGCTCCGGTCCCCCCACCACGGAACCCAGTGCTAGGAGGTAAGCCCCAAGTCTGGTGTGGGAGGTAAGCCCCAAGTCTGGTGTGGGAGACATAGCCCTGCCTTCAGGGAGACTCCTTCCCACAGGTGGGGAGAAGGCCTGGCTGCTAGTCTAGGGACACTCAGTCCGAAGGGGTGGTTCCCCACCCTCAGGATCTCAGCCTGATGGGGGAGGGGCGGCTCAGCCTTGGGGGCCCTTAGCTTAGGGGGTAAGGACTCCTGCCTTGGGGGAAGTGCCTGGATTCTCGGTGGGCAGGAACAGGAGCTGCAGGGTCTCTGGCATCAACTCATTCTGGGGGCGCAGGGCAGGGGAGTAAAGACCAGTGTCCTGCCCCTCCAGTATTCCCAGCTGCCTCACCTCTGCCTGGGCTCTGCCTCCATCTCCCCTGCAGGTAAAACTCTCCCAAGAACAGGGATAAAGTTCAGCATAAGAGAGTGGCTCCCATTTTGGGGGAACTACTGAGTAAGAATGAACCAGGAGGGGGGAGGGGGCAGCTGATTAAGCACTTGGCTGCAGACCAAAAGGTCAGGTGTTCAAACCCGCCCGCTGCTCTGCGAGAGAAAGACGTGGCAGTCTGCTCTCGTAGAGATTTACACCCTCGGGATCCCCGTGGGGCGGGTCTACCCTATCCCGGAGGGTGGCTGGGAGTCAGAAGGGACTCAGCCGTGGGCTGGGGTGCTTAGTGCTCCCCTCACCTCATGCAGCCTCATCCCGAGGGCCTGCCCCCCTGCCCTGCTAGCTGGCCCTCACCGTGTAGAGGATCAGGACAGAGATGAACTGGATCAGGCTGTACAGAGCCATGTACTTGAAGACGCTGAACGACGTGTCCAGAGAACACCGGCCTTCCCTGGGCAGAGGCATGGGTATTAGGGGCTAGCTCGGCTGATGCCCCAGAGCCCCTGCCTGCCAGCCCCACCACCTCACCTGATGACCTTGGGCACACACTCGATGCTGGCCAGGCTCGAGGTGAAGGATGAGACCACGGAGGCCTCAGCCTGGGAGAGCGAGATGCCCACGTCGGCTGCCTTCAGGGCCCCACAGTCGTTGGCGCCATCCCCGCACATGCCCACGCAGTACCTGGCAGGGAGGGGCAGGCAGGTGGGGCCCAGGTCTTTCCCTGGCTCTGGGTGTGTGCTCCCAGGTTTGCTGAGAGAAGAAGGGATGCCTGCATTCCTGTGTAATGGAGGCTGGGGTGCCTGTAGTCTGCTCGGTGCTCTGCCGGAGCTCTGACCCCGGGGAGCAGAGCTCCACCCTGCACACGGGGCAGGCTGGGTTCCAAACAACCACCAAGGAATCAAAGCGGGCAGTTCAAATCCACCCAGTAACATTGTGGGAGAAAGGCCTGGTAATCTGCTCCCAGCACGACCCCAACCAGCAACAGTCCTGCTCAGGCACCTTGGCTTTGCCCTCCCGCCCACTCGGCGTTAGGTGCTCAGTGAATAGGTGCTGGGGTTGTTTTCAGCACTCTGAGGAGTGCCTGCCTGGTGATGGCAGCTCTCCTACACCTGGGCAGGGAGGCTGGATTTGTAGGCAAGTTCACCCCCACAGGCCCGCCCCCATCCTGCCCCCCACAGGACTGCCAGAGCACTCACTGCAGTTTCTGCAGCTCGCACACCAGCTGGGTCTTCTGCTCGGGGGCCATGCGGGCAAAGACAGTGCCCTGGACCAGGACCTGGCACAGGGAGGGGAGGGGCTGAGACAGCCACCAGGGGCATGTCAAGAGGAGGCCTTGGCTGAGCTGGGAGGGGCTGGCCACCCTACCTTGGGCAGCAGCTTGGGGAAGTGCTTCAGCAGGATGCTGAAGGTGGCCCCACTGAGTGCCAGGTGGCGGGAGTGGAGGTCTGGCTCCAGGGTGTAGCTCTCAGCCTGCACAGGTTCCTGGGCGCCCAAGAAGTTCAGTTTAGATCCCCCTTCCCCATACTGGCAAGGTGGGACCAGGCGGTGGCAGAGGGGTGGGGCTGGGGACTCGGGCAGCCTCACCTTTGCCCCATTCATGGCTGCAGAGGGCTCCACGGGCAGGAACTCCAGAGAGGCAGGCTGGCCTTGCTCAGGGGGTGCAGCATGCACGATGACCAGCCGCTCCTGGGATCCCACCATGCCGCAGCCCCGGGCCACAGTGACTGCGGTCTGCAGGTTGTCCCCTGGGGAGCATGGGGCAAGGTCAGGGTCCTTACCCTGACCCTTCAAGGTGTGGCAGGCCACCACTCACAAGCTGGGCAAGTTACCCACACCTCTGACCGCCTGGCTCCTTGTGTATAAAAGCAGGTGCCAAAGGGTCTCAGAAGAAACGGGATGGGGCTCCAGGGGTGAGTCTCCTGGAAAGGGGGTGCCCGTTACCGCTTGCGCTGCTACTGTGCTGCTCAGCCAGAGGACCTTTTCTGGCTACACAAACTGGTCACAGCCTTTGAGGCTGGCACCATCGTTCTCGTTTCTCAGAAGGGGACAGTGGGACCCGGAAGGTGACAACGCAGCTGGTGAGTAGCCAGGCTAGACCCCGGGCCATCTGACACCAAGCCTGGGCTCCACGGCCTCATCTGTTAAATGGGAGGCATGGGAGGGATGCTGTGAGGCTCCCATCCAGTGGGGCCAGGGCCTGCCTGCTTAGTACCTGTGACCATGACGGTGCGGATTCGGGTCCTCCGCAGGGCCTGGATCACCGGCGTGCTCTGTGGCTTCAGCCGGTTCCTCATCACCAGCAGTCCCAGGAGGCTCAGCTCCTGCTCCACAGTGTCCCTGGGGGACGGGCAGCCTCAGGTCAGAGGTCCTCCCCCTGGCCCCTAGGACCTTCAGCCCAGTCCTCCGAGGGGGCGGTGGGGGCCCACCTAGGGCCCACCTTGTCAGCTGCTGAGCTGCCCCCAGGTCAGGCGTGATAGGCAGGGTCTTGCCGGCAAGTGCCACCACTCGATAGCCGGCAGCGGTGTGACTCTGCAACGTCTGGGCAAAGTTGGCAGGCACTGGCAGGAGAGGAGCGAGTCAGCCGGAGGAGGTTTGAGGCTGGGGCCCTGGCCCTGAACGCCAACACCCGAGCAGTCACCTGTCTCAGGTCTGCAGAGGCCTGCCACCAGCTCCGGGGAGCCCTTGACATAAACCTCAGGCTGTGTGGCCCCTGGCCAGGTCACCACCACGTCCATGCGCTGCAAGGTGGACGAGAAAGGGAAGCGGCAGAGGATGCTGATGGACCCTGGGCGCTCCTGTGGGCAGAGAGACCACTGAGGTGCTGTAGAGAGCCGGCCCTTCGGCCCTACCCCCGGACACCCCTGGCTTACCGCCCCCTGCAACTGGGGCACCCCAAGTGGGGGTCTCATCACTGCCAAGACCTGGGTTTCCAAGGCCCGGTCTTCTGCCGGCGCCTCCTCCAGGACCTGGGAAACAGGCAGAGACGGTTAGCCAGAAGAGGCAGCAGGAGAGATTTGAGCTAGACTTATGGAGGCGGGGCAGTACAGAAGTGAAGAACTTGGGCTCTGGGATGGGGAAGACCGTGCCTAAACTCTGGCCTTATCCCTGGTGGGGTGACTCGGACCCCTGACTCCCCATCTGCCCCAGCCTGCTTTCCTCCGGGGAAAGCAGGAGACCGCTGCCCAGAGTGGGGGGTGGGGGTGGGGCTGAGTTGCTTGACCTCCTCACCCAGCCTGTAGACTCCACCATCTTGAGGTCCATGGGGTCGCCCATTAGGGTGTCCTGGAGCTGGCTGAGGGTGTGGCAGGTGGCCAGTGCTCGGAGCAGGGGCCCCACGGGCAGGTGGCGGGGCTCTGGGACCAGCGGCAGGAACACCTGCCCCTTCAGGGGCACCACACCCATCACGTCCAAGCCGTCCTCTGTGAGGGTGCCCGTCTGCAGCGGGGGCAGGGTGGTGGTGAGCCTGGCTGGGAGCCTTGCCTGGGAGCCCCAGCTGGGCTAGGACAGGCCACCTTTTCTGCTGGCTCCCCTTGCTCCCCCCGCCCCCCTGCCTGACTTTACTCCCTTCCGGAGGTGTCTGGGAGCTGGCGGGGAACTTGCTCCTAGACGGGGAGTGTTCCACATACTTGTTGAATGAACGAATGAAGGAAGGAGGGAGAGAATGAATGAGTGCCTTTTCATACTGCACTTCAGCTGCCCACTTACACCAGCAGCCCTTCGCCAGCACGGCAGCCACTCCTCAGTGTGAAAGCTCCCCGTGGTCCAGGAGTGGCCTGCCTGTCGGTCTGTCCCGTCAGGGCCTCACAGGTGCTGCTACCCCACCTGTCCCACGGCTCCCAGGGCCTCTGCTTGGAGCAGCCTTCTCGCTGGGGTCCCCACTGACCACCTCACCAGTCCCCACTCCCTCCCTTCAGCACCCTGATGCGCGAGCGTGGCAGTGGCCCACTGCAGTCCCTCGGTGGTGCTCTCTGATCAAACAAGTAAGGGCTTTGGACACAGCATCTGACTGTACTTGGGGGCTCGGCGGGGTCCCGTGAGTGTCCCTACCTTGAGACAGAACATGGCACCCAGCAGATCCTCAGTCAACCAGGGTGGCCCATGGGTCCCCGCCCCCACCGCCTCATGCTGCAGCTCCCACCTTGTCAAAACACACCAAGTGCAGCTTGCCGCCCAGGTTGATGCGCATCGGGTGGATACAGAAGATGCCCTGCTTCCGCAGGCGGCTCTGGGCATATAGCGTGCACACGGTCATGGCGGCTGGCAGGGCGGGCGGGACCACCACCGTCACCAGGTCCAGAGCCCGGATCACAATCTCCTTCAGTGGAACCTGGCAGGAGGCGCCATGAGTGCCACCGGCTGGCCCGGGGCAGCACCCGACCTCCCCCACTTCACAGGCCCCCGAGACAGACCTGGTTGTGGTGGAGGATGAAGATGCTGTAGGCGGTGCCCAGGAGAGCTGGGGACACAGAGCAGGGACTGAGTGGGTCCGGGCCGGGCAGTGGGGCCATTGGCAGCATGGGGTGCAGGGGATACTCACCCAGGATGGAAAGGGCAGCCACGAACTTCATGCTGTGCCTGTAGAACTTGAAGTTCAGGGGCCGGGGATGCAAGATGGAGCTCACCAGGCTTCCTTTAGCAGTGCAGAACCCTGGGAAGGAGCCAGGGAAACTGAGGCAGGGCAAGCCACTAGAGCTGGGTGAGGACACTGGGTCCCATCCCCAGGTGGCAGGAGCCTGCTGGGAGTGACTGCTCCCCTCAAGAGGGACAGGCTCTCCTGCTTGCCACACCCCTTGCCCACCCACTCTAGCTTAAATGCTTGCCCAGCCTCTCCTAGTACTGATGGGGAGACCGAGGCCCAAGGAGCAATGACATTTACCCAGGTCCCAGGGGGGTCAGCAGCTGGGCTGAGTGTGGGGCCCTGGACCCAGGCTCCTGCCCACTCCTGCCACCTCTCCTGTGGGTGTTTAGCTGAGCATTGTCCTCGTGAACCTGGCTCCTACCTGTGTGTGTCACCACCGCCAGGACATGGGGTCCTCCATAGGCCCGGGCCTGCAAGACGAGAGTCCCGCAAAAGAGTGTGTGCCGCCGGTGGGTCTCTGGGCTGTAGGGCATTGGGCCCGCCGGCAGGGCCGTCTTCAGGACAGGAACACTCTCTCCTGGGAGGGGCAACGTGTGAGGCCCTGGGGGAAGGGGCTCCATGCCCCTCACGCCTGGCAACTGGAACTGAAGGGCCGACTGGATGGGACTGCTTTATAAGCCCTGTGTGGGAGCTCTCCTCACCAGTGAAACCTCAGTGCTGCTCCCAGACAGGGAAGGTGAGGCCCAGAGAGGGCAAAGAGGACACAGGGAGGCAGTCCTGGGAGGCCATGTGCCAGCCTGTCACCAGGGGCCACCTCGGGGTGGGTGGTGGGAAGGGTGGTCACAGAGAGTGTGGGCACACACGTGTGGGGGGCGGGTGGTGGTGGTAGGGGACTGGAAGACTTTCTCCTTCTGTTGGGATTACTATAATGAACACCATGACTTCATTTGCTAATTGAAACCACTAAAGAGGGAGATTCACCTCTGTAAAGCACCCCCCCACACACACACATCCTGCCCGGCAGCAGGGTTGCATGGGTGAGGCAGGCCCGGATGCAGCCCTTCTACTACTGCACACCGACCTCATCGACCCCCACAGCTCTGCCTGGGAGCCTCCCATCCTCCCGGGCCTCGAGTACACAGAGGGGCTGCTGCTCCTGCGGCACAGGGCCCAACACTCCGTCCCCGTGCACCAGAACGGCTGAAGGCAGCACGCACGTGGACGAATATGGGGCAGAACAGAGGCCAGTTTGGTACTGCGCGTGGCGCCCGACCCCTTGATCGACTTGCGGGCGTGCAGAGCCTGGTAGACCACCTCACACCCCATCCGTGACGGAAGGAGGGGGCGGTCCGGCATACAGGGGGACTCCTCTGCCGCGGACAGTCCTTGGCACTGGCACGCAGACATGCGCACACAGTACACCTGCTCCCCAGGGACCATGCACCGTGGGGAGGCTAAGCAACGTGAGAGACAAAGGCGGCAGGCAAACGTGAGGTTCTGCAGCCAAGCAGAGGGCAGAGGGGCCCGGGCTGACCTGTGAGAGCGCTCTCGTTGACTACACACTCGCCCGCCACCAGGGCGGCATCGCAGGGCAGCAGCCCCCCCTCCTGGGGCAGCACCAGGCAGTCTCCGGGCACCAGCTCGTTGGAGTCTACCCATTCTACCTCTGGAGGAAGGAGGAGCCTCAGTGCAGTCTGCCCACCTATGCCGCCCCCGGCCCCGCCCCCCTCCAGTTCTTACCTCCCCCTAGCCGGGACACGCACACTTGCACAGACAGCTTGACCATGTCCCTCAGAGTCAGACTTTGCTGTGAGACAAGGGAAGGGGTGGGTGGAGGTCCTTGGGGATCAACCTGTCCCCCAAGCTGCCTCCTGCCTCTCCCCACCCCACCCCACCCACCTTTCTTGTTTTGTACAGTGACAGGCCAATGGAGATGGTGGAGACGATGAAGATGCACAGGGCATACCAGTAGTAGTGGTCGGCTAGCCACAGCGCAATGCTGAAGGCCTGCAGCCCGTAGTATGGGTTCAGTACCTGCAAGGGGAGGAGGGGCGCAGAACACATTAGGACGGCACCCTCAGGGCAGCCCAGTCAGAGGCTCATGGGTGCAGAAGCCTGGCAGCTCCCAGAAGACTCCAGCCAGGACCTGATCCCAAACAGTCTCCTAGTCAGACTCCCCCCGCCAGTTGTCCCTTGAGCCCCATCTTCTCCAGGTGTCGGGGACAATGACATTGTGGAGCCCCCACTACATGTCCCAACTGTCACCCAACAGTGACCACTCAGGCACAGGAAGGCTGAGTCACCTGCCTGACACCCAAGCCTGTAGCAACAGCACACTGGGGTTTAGGGCCCGTGTTCTGGTCAGAGGGGTGGGCCACTCCTGTTTCACTCCTGAGTCCCAGTAGCCCCCTTCTCAGAAAACTACTTAGCACCCTCCTGGCAAGGAAACCATTTTGTGCTTCGCCCACAGACCAGGATGCAGTGAAGGTATCTGCTTTTGCGGCCCCCCCACACCCCCATTGTTCCAGCATATTGCAACCACTCGAGACCCTACCAAGCTCAGCTTCCTCAGAGGGGAATGGAGTCTAGCTCTCACCCCTCCCTCCTGGGTTGCTGGAGAACAAAAGTGGCTGACCATGCCCAGGGCCCCGTCTTTTGGAGCACGGTAGACGCTCAGGCAAGGTGGGCTTGTTCCCAGCCCCCTAAGACCCCTGTTCAGTCCTAACCTCCAGCCCAGGCCCAGCCAGAGCCACCAGTTCCGAGGCCTGGCTTCTTGCGAGCCAAGCTGGGCTATTGAGTCACCACTGAGAAGGCCAGGCATGCCCAGCTGGGGTGAGGCCCAGCACCCTACCTCGTCCACCAGCAGCTGGAGATAGGACTTGACTGGAACACTGATCACGTTGGGGCCGAAGACGGCCTTCCTGTAACAAAGGCAGTGGTCACGTTGCCGGGGGGCTGGACCTTGCAGGGATGTTCCGGTTCCCCGTTTTATAGCTGGAGAAGCCAAGGCCCGGAGAAGGCAGGAGACGAGAAGGCCACACCAAGGCGGGCAGGATGGGGGTCCCAGCTCCCAGGCCCCCGGGTCTGGGGTAGCATCCACCTCACAGTGCGGTCCTGGAGGCTGAGTCCACAGCGAGACCGGTGGACGTCGTCACAGGTGCGGCCCTGGTCCAGGAGGCTGTGGGGTGGGCGTCAGGGACATGCGTGTGGGCCACGGGGCAGGGGCCCTGTAGCCTCCACTGTGCATAGGCTGTGGCTCAGGACTGAGCACTGCAGACCTTCGGGTCACTTCTGCCACGTGACACGTCAGGAGAAGGGGGACGCAGGGCACCCACTAACTCTGGGGGTTCACTTTCTTTTTAATGCTTCTGAGCCTCGAACCCCCTACCCCAGGGGCAAGCAAGCATGGAGACTGAGCTGCTGCTGAGAGCATTATAGGCAGAAGAGCCCAGGAGACGACTGTGCCGGGCAGGGCAGCGGTAAGCCCCTGGGTGGCTAAGTGAATGAGATCAAGCGCCACATCGTGCTCGCTAGGCAGGGCCTGGCACCCAGCCAGGGACAAACATCGGGCTTTGGCTGCTGCTCCTACGGCACGGCAGAGGGGCCCTGGCCTCCTTGACACCGCAGTCCCTGGTCTGCGTGTTAGGACGTGGGTTGGGAAAGCCCACAGTGCTGAAGACTTAGGGGCCCACCATCGGTAAGGGTGGGTGAGTTAGTTAATTGTGCCAGCCTGGCCGATAATCACATGTGGTGCTGGTTGAAAGGCGGAGGGATAAATGGGTGGTGAAGCCTCGCCTTTCTAGTTC